CTTACCGGAGGTGGGGGGCGGCGCCATGGCTGGCGGGGTGGAGGTGGGTAGGGTTTTGGAGGCTTGGGCCGGCGGGAATGGGAAAATGGAGAAGGGGGCGAGGCGGGCGGCGTGTCGATCGGAGGGAGGGAGGAGAAAAATGGTGAGGCACGCACGACACTACACACGAGATTCGGCGTGTCGATCTGGTTTTGTCACACAATTAAGTTGACCCAAAGCTTAGGCAAGTTCAAATTTTAACTTTTTTAGCATCAGTATAGACACAAGCGCTCATATACACGCGCATACACTCATCCCTATGAACGCACACACGCACGCATATCATCTTGAAATTTACGAAGTCACCGTAGGCGCCTCGTCGTCGACTGGAACGTCTCCTCCCATTGAAAGCACATCGCCGGAAATCCTGAAATAAATCCAGGAATAATGCGAGCACTAGGATTTGAACCCTGATGGGTTGGGGATACCCCTATCCACCTAACCAACTCAACCACAGGTTGATTCGCAGGCAAGTTCAAAATTAAGGTTCGTCAATTTGACAAGTTTATTTACAAATGTTTTTTTCTTTGCGGGGACAAATGGCGGGTTTTTTTTTCTGCTAACGACGAATGATTCGTGTCATCCGACGACAATTCCATGAGACCATTCCATTCCAATGGTCCACACTGAATGTTGTGTTGCATAAGCGACACGACACACTCGATGCAGCAAGGATAATATCGTCCACATACAACAACCGGCAGGAAGAAGAATAACGATCTCTCTTAGAGCATGTGGCAACGAAATCAATGGTCTAGAGAAAGTCGGTGAAGCGAATATACCATGAATGTGATTTCCCTTCCTCTCTGTCGTCCGCCGCGTCGCCCTGCTTGGGCGACTCGGGCGGGTACCCAACCCTCACTAGTGCAGAACCGGCCTTTAGTGCCGGTTCGTAACGGCCTTTAGTGCCGGTTTGCCAACCGGCACTAAAGAGTGGGGACTAAAGCCCCCCCCCCCCTAGTACCGGTTCGTCATGAACCGGCGCTAAAGTGACATCACGTGGCACGAGGCAGACCCGTGTGCGCGTAGGACATTAGTACCGGGTGGTAACACCAACCGGTACTAAATGTTTGGAGGGGGGTTTGGCTTTATTTTTCATTCAATTTTTTTGTTTGCTGGTATTTCACGATACTACAAATTGTACACGTTATGCATATATATAAATAGATTTTCTCGTACGTAGAACCGCATATATATTAATTATTCACACATACACATGTATATACATATACAATTTCTCCTACATATGTTGCCTTGGTGCCTCCGGAGCACGATGACAAGTGGTTCATGGGGAGGTAGCGGGTGATAGTATTCTCCTTTGGGATCTATGACCTGGTCGAGCAAAAATCCGGTTATTTCCTTTTGAAGTGCTAGTATGCGGTCCGATGGTAGGAGCTTATCCCGCATCTCTCTGAACTGTTAAGAAGGAGACCAATATGCATGTGTGTTAGTTGTGCGACTAGATATCGATAATGGTGTGAATAGTGTTCTGACAAACGTATCCAGTCCTGTCTATGAGATCTGCTCCTTTCGCACGTCATCATGCGAATGTTCTCGCAAACGTAGAATGCACACAGATTATTCCCCGGCGCCTGCTACAGGGCCTTTACGAGAATGGAATTGAATCAGATAATGATTAATCAAGCATAATAATTAATTAATGATATTGAAACAAGAATTAAAGAGATGGTAGCTAGCTAGTACTACTTAATTACTTACCTTTGGTCGATGCCAAAACAACTTTTTTGCCCACTTGCCTGGAGTCACCTTGATGAACTTTGCTCATGCCCTGCCCGCCGGCAAAGAAAATTAATAAAAGGGTTATTAAATAGTTCATATCAGGAAATGACGAACTAATAATAGGCCGGGATATAGTTAAAAATGATTGAAATTACCTGTTGACTATCCCCTTCACGATGGTGAAGTCTTTATCTGCTTTAGTTAGTGAGTCCAGTAATTTAACTTTTTCTTCATCAACTTTAATGTTTAACAAGACCCAGTGCCAACTGTATGCGCACATGTTTGCATGTCTTAATTAAGCAGGCATGTGCATAAAATTAATCAACTACCGTAAACTGTATACACTTAATTATTAACATCTAGCTAGCTAGTAAGCAAAAACAGAATTTGTAGCACAAGACAGTGTGACTCACCGGAAGTTGTAAGGAAGTAGTATATCTTCATTGGTATTGAGGCGCTTCAAGAACTCTAGCATGCTTTTCTCTACACCTGCTTGATAAAATGGAAGCTGCCATATGTCCTCATTAATGGTATTTGGGTCAATGAACCCAATGCCATAGCGTCCAGATTTTTTCATTTCATACATCTTCATCCTGCATATAATACCACAGAAAAGAATATAGTGAGGATAATTACATGTAATGATTGATCAAAATTATCACTACATAACTAGCTTGAGACTTAAATTATAAAATTATCACTTACAGACAATAGCAACTGACGATAGACTTGTCAAGTGCGTCTTGATTGTATAATTGAAATAGTTCTGGATACTCAATGGCCAGAGCTTTCTGATGATAATAATGCTCATGCTTGACATTCACCATGAGGGACTCTCGACTGGAAATCTTGATAATGTTCATGTACCATTGATGCAATTCATACATTCTCATTGGGAGGTCCTTGACCTTGTCTGGATGGACTAAAGGTTGGCCCCGGACATATTTCCATTTTATTTCCGATTCTCTAAGCGGAGACATGGGCTCGATTTCGAGGAGTTGTCCAACAGAGATCTTGAGCATTTCAGCATGCATTATATGCTCCTCCGTTATTACCACATCGCCCTGCTAGGGAACGCTAACGGTTTGCCCATAATAATATTTGGTGCGCGTACTCCTCTCATGTGTTGTTGGCACAACAAGCAGGGGGATCGCTTGCGCCGCCTGTTCTCCCAACTGGGGAACGGTTTTCCCGCATTTTTTGCCAGCTGCTTGTTGGCTCGAGCTCGAGCTTGCTTCCTTCTTTAGCTGTTCTCGATGTAGTTTCCTGATTTGGCGCTCATAGTCCGAGTCAACATGCTTGGGAGCTGCTTCTCTAGCCATATGAATGAAGTGGTCAATTACTTTCTCAGGCACTTTCTCCTTTGGCGGCGGTGCCGGTTTCGGTCCAAAATGGGCGTCCACTTGGGCCTGCACTATGACTGCATTTTGCTCCTTAGTCATGTCGTAAGGCCTCTGAGGAAGAGGAGCGAGGCTTGGACCATATTTATATCGCTTGTCTCCGCCTGTACTTCCTGAACTACCTCGACTCGTACCGCTACGCACCATAGCTGCGGCATGTCTCTTCTGCGATTGCTGAGACGGCGGAGACGGCTGACGTCGCTGAGTTGGACCAGGAGAAGTGGCCTGACGATGTGCCAGACTTGAAGCAGGAGGTGTGGCCTGACACGGTGCCGGACTTGAAACCGGAGAAGTGGCATGACGCTGTGTTGGACTTGAAACCGGAGGAGTCAGCTCACGCGTTCGGGGACTTGGAGGAGGTGGCGGACTTCGAGGAGGAGTCGGCTCACGCGTTCGTGGACTTGGAGGAGCGCGGTCTGCTGACTCGGTGGCGGACTTCGAGGAGGAGTCGGCAGACGACGCGGTGTCGGTGGACTTCGAAAGATGATGCAATCCTTTCTCCATAGGATGATACGATGTATGGCCTCTCCCAGTGTGCGCTTGTCTTCACCTCCAGGAATGTCAAGCTGTAGCCCCGAATATGGGTCCACCACTTCATCAACCATGACACGAGCATAGCCTTCTGGAATCGGGATGCAATGGAAGGTTGCTTCGGGGGTAACTGGAAAAGCAACGCCGTCCGCCACCTTCATGGATATGTTCTTCATTTTGGAGTGTAGCTCACAGTTAGTGTTCTCTATGATGTCATACACAGGGTATATATCCAGCAGTGTGTCGCCCGGGGAAGAACCAACGCTGCTTCTCGGCATGGATGGGACGGTGCTATCCAATGCTGGACGATCATCCGCTTGCTGCTGCCGCTGCTGAGACCCCCTTTCCTGGCTAAGTGAGTCGATCTGCTGCTGCTGCTGCTGGAATTTGAGTGCCAGGTCCGCGTGCCTTGCTTCTAGGCCTTGAAGACGTTATGCGTCCTTCTTCCTCTGCTCCTCCTCCAGCTTCCTTTTCTTATCCTCCTCCATCTTCCTTTTTGCACGGGTCCTGTAGTCCTCGTTCCATTCTGAAAAGCCCTCATACCAGGGAATAACGCCCTTGCCTCGTGTTCTTCCCGGGTGTTCAGGATTTCCCAGGGCGCACATAAGCTCGTCGTTCTCTCTGTTGGGCGTGAACACCCCCTTTCGAGCTTCTTCTATTGCGTCAGTTATCTTTTGTTCGGCTCCTTTAGGTTTGCCTTCCGCGAAACTTCGCCTGTCTTCGGGTCCAACGCCCCCCATGCGCATAGAACCAAGTTCTGCACCTGGGGGGGCAGTTCCTAGTAACCGGAGTGACCCCTGCATCCTCCATCTCTTGCTCATACTTATCCCACTTAG